GTATTTTCTCTTCTGGAATAATTTTTTTCTACATAGTAGAATATCGCCTTTATAGAAAACAGGTAATATTATGTTAAGAATACTTTCTGTCTGGGTATTTTTACAAAAAGAACTAAGGGTTGTTTTGATTAACTAAAAACTCATCTAAATAAGTGAGCTTTAATTTTCTGGTATTTGCTCTCTTCATATTTAATTGTTCACTTTAAAAGTTAAGTGGATTTTTATGCCTCCTTTCCTGCAACCTCCCTCTATGTTTAAGAATCTTCATAATGACAAGTGGGTTTCTGAAACAGTAACTTAAACCACCTGAAAGTTCCTCAAGTAGACTGTTTAATTGGGAAATACCTATTTCTCAAATACTAATACGGCACCAGTGTATGGCAACTTTCATGCATTCTAGTTTTAAACCATCCCTTTTCCATATTAACTCATTGGATCATTCTGATATAAACTGTTAAATTCTAGGCTCTATGTTCTAATTCAGCACATTCACTACAGTTTGAACATTTTGGAAATAATACTAAGCAGTGACAGCTAAAATAATGCATGGTTATTTTGATTTTAGGAACTCTAGTGAGATTTCAGGGAAAAAAATCCCAGGTTTCCCACCAGCATGGCTCAGTACAGTAATTGTCCCAATAATAGAATATACCAGGAGAATCCTCCTTTTCTTGCTTGAGTTAAAGCTTAACATTAATTTCTGTCCATGAGACAAAATTATCTGTGATTTGATTTTTTTTTTCTAAAAAGAGCAAAACTGTTCATCCATAAATGTAAGTAAATGTAATTGTGAAGTGCAAGTGATTTGTCGTTACTTGCTTCCTAGGTCTGAAAGACAGTGACTGGCCCAACTGTCTTTGTGCAAAAGACAAGACAAGAATTCCTGCCCTGCCAATTTCTAGCCTGGTGCCTTTAACCAGTTTACCACACTGGTTAGATACCTTTACTTGTATTCTTGTTTTACAGATGAATAAGCAGAAATGGAGAATCAAACTGACTTTATTTTGCTTGGATTTTCTGGCGATCCTCAACTACAGAACTGGCTCTTCTTGATATTTTCAATCATTTTTCTCATCACAGTGTCAGGAAACATCATAATCATTTTGATAATCAGAATAGACCCTTCTCTCTCTGTACCCATGTACTATTTTTTATCTCATTTGTCCTTTGTTGATATGTGTTACTCAACTAATATTGTTCCTAAAATGTTAATGAATTTTCTTACAAAGCAACAGACTATTTCCTTCACTTTCTGTATCTTACAAATGTTTTGTACCCTTCTACTAGGTGTTACAGAGATTTTCCTATTGTCAGCAATGGCATATGATAGATACGCTGCAGTGTGTCACCCACTTCATTACATAATGATCATGAATAAAGCAATATGCACTTACTTAGTTTTAGGAGCATGGCTAATAGGCTTGCTATCTGCAACAATAAACACAGTGCCCATTTTTAAGTTACACTTTTGTGGCCTCCGTGAAATTAATCACTTCAGCTGTGAGCTTCCTCCATTATTGAAAGCATCCTGTTCTGACACTTTACTAAGTAATGTAATCCTTTTGTCTTTTGCTGTTATGTGTGGACTTGGTTCCTTCTCACCAACATTGGTCTCTTATATTCATATCATCTCCACTATCATGAAGATCCATTCTACAGAAGGTAGAAGTAAAGCTTTCTCTACATGCAGTTCACATCTCATTGTAGTAGGCTTACAATATATGACAGGAATGTCCCAGTACATGAAACCCAGCAATGTTTCTTCTATTATAATGGACGAGATTATCTCTGTTCAATATAACATTTTGACCCCAATGCTGAATCCAATTATCTATAGTCTGAAAAATAAAGAAGTGAAGACAGCACTTAAAGGAATGTTTAAGCAAAAAATGAATACTTGATCTAACTTATACTCATTAGTTACATATGGATACTTTAAAGATGAGTCTCTATATACCTGTGTGTTATTTTTGTGTTTGTATATGTAAAGAGATGGAAAGAGGGTAAGAAAAGAGAATACGGTTTTACCACTTATAAACTTAATTAAGATTTGGAAAGCTTCAATTTATATCCAGGAGATATAAGTGTACAATGCAGATGACTATAATCTGATAATTTACAATTCTTTTAGGACTTCTTATGTCCATTTTATTTAGCCTACCTGATTCTTTTGCAGACTTCTTCTACAAACTGAACTTAAACTGGTAATGTCTAGGGGACTCATTCACCATAAGCCATGGTTTAATGCTATTGAAGGCAAATATACATGTTCCAGTATAATGTTGCAGAATCGGTCAGATTTTGACTTGTGATTTACTGTTGCTTCACAGTTAGAATTGTGCTTTTTTGTAAAATTTCACCTGTTTGCTATTTCACTTTTAAGTATATTTTGCCAATATTTCTTTTTTACAAGATTTTTTTTTTTTTTTGGTGACAGCATTAATACATTCATCAAAATGGATTTATATATTTTCTTCCTTTTGAAAATCTCCTTTTCTGAACATCAGCATCATTTATTAGCTGGTACTTGAATAGGAGACCATGGCTGATAAAATGGGGGGTGGGGTGGGAAAAGAGATTCTGAAATCCAGCAAAATATTGGTGTGTTATTGCTAAATGTATTTATCTGTCTAGTTACTAGAAAACTAGAATAACACAATGATGTCTTTGTCAGTAAAATTAGGAAAGAGTGCCTATTGATTAAATTAGTAGCAAATATAGAAATATTTAGAAGGAAGGAAGTGCTTTCACACTTAAAATAATAGATAGCCCAACAGTTGATAAATTCAGGTTTCATCTTCTAAGCATTTACATCATGGCTATTGTTAAAAATGGGAATATGGGAAGTTTATTTCAAGTATGCCATGACTTTTCTTTGTGTGCAGTATACTACAGACATGCAATAAACTCCTCCTCCTCCTCCTCCTCCTCCTCCTCCTCCTCCTCCTCCTCCTCCTTCTCCATAGTGTCCACCACTGGAGGTTTTTAAAAAGATATTAGACAATCATTTGTCTGAAATGGTACAGGGTCTCCTGCTTGAGCAGGTGGTTGGACTAGAAGGCCTCCAAGGACTCTTCTAATTCTGTTGTTCTGTTATTTTTTTTTCCTTTCTCACCCTTCATTTTCTTTTTGTTTGTGTTTGCACTGTCTTTTTTTCAAGTTCTTTAATAGGTAGTGCTAATTTCTTTTCCTAGTTATGGCCTTAGTTTAAAAGATACAGTAGGAAAGGTTTATTTTGAGATCTCAATGTTTAGAACTTAATGTGAAATGGAATGCCAGATTTTATTTCAAATTGGTTATCAAATTTCAGGAAAATAAAATATTTTATACCATGTCATTTATGGTTACTGTTTGACACCTGCAAGACTTTAAATGGCTCACAGCATTTACAGTGTAAAATTCTAGATTTTAGAAAATGAAATAAAATGCAAAAATTCCACACTCATATTCACAATTTAAGTATTCAAAATCATTATTAAAATTTAACATTTACTATGACATTAAGGTTCTTAATGTTTTCACCTGATTCCAAAAAGTCATGAGTGGGGGCCATCTTTACTTTGTGGGTTAACTATTTCCAATAGGGGAGATGCTACATGGAACACCCACTTTCGGGGGCCCTTCCTCTATGTACTCCGTAATTGTTCAAGTAGGTTGTACTTGAACAATTGGCAAAAAGTGGTTTTTAAGATAGTTAGGATCTGGGATATAAAGGGCTTTATGAGTATGTCTATGGAGATGCTCAATCATCCAGGTCATAGTTGTCTCAAAGGTGCTTTTTTTTTTTCCAAGGGGCAACTGGACTTTCTGGTTTTTCTTTGAAGACGTTTTGCTTCTCATCCAAGAAGCTTCTTCAGTTCAGAAACATCTTCTAAGAAAAACCAGAAAGTTCAGTTGCCGCTTGGGGGAAAAAAAAAAAAAAAAAAGCACCTTTGTGCTTTATAAGTACAAACCAGTACATTACTGGCAGCTTCTTTAGCAGATAAAACAGTATCACATGAGCATGTATATGTGTGCTGCTAGGTCTCATGGCAACAGACTACATTTCAAATACATTGTGGGCTTGAAATATGTTTCTGAAAATGTTGGAATGCACACACTTTCAAAACTAGGAAATGGTTTGCATGGCTTCAATTGGTTTCTTGACAAAAGCTGTGTCTGCACTCTAGTTAATACGAATGAAAGAACTATAGTTTATATATATATATATATATATATATATATATATATATATATGTATGTATGTATGTATGTATGTATGTATGTATGTATGTATGCTGTATAATTTGAGGTAGAAGTTGATATACCATATAAAGGGGTAGAAAGATAGAGATGATAGAAGAAAACGAACATCTGAAAGTGTTTTTAGTTGTGTTGAATATAATAAATTCTGGTGTAAATCTTTCAGGAAATCTGTAGCCATTCTTTGAGGGATGATGAACATGCCTTTTTTATCATCAGGTAACTATTACTACATCATCAGCATCAACATCACTATCATGTGGTGAAAAGGAATCATGTGGGGAAAATGCTATCAAAACATTTAAAAGTGAAAAGAGAAACTTCACTATGAAAACATCATCAAACTTTGGAACACCTAGTCTTTACCATATTAAAGAGATGTTGAAGAGAAAACATTATCAAAAGTCTTCAGCATGGTCATAAAATGGGGATAGGATGTTCTTTAAGAATCAGGTCTCAAATTATCAATATAGACTTAGTGAAGGACATGCATATAGCAGTAGGAAGAGATCTTATCTTGTACACACATATAAACACATATGGGAGAGAGAGAGAATGAGAAAGAAACACACTCATTTTAAACCTCCTCTCATAAAGAATGAGTTTAATGAATTAGATCCAAACACACCATAGATAGAATTAGAGTTTGTAGTCCATTTTTTTTAAAAGAATGTACTACTCTAAACATAAATTGGATTTAGATCCAATTCAAAATATTGGGATAATGATAAGCAAAAATAAATTTAATTTTTAATCATTTAATTTTTCTTACATATTCTTCCAAGTGCCCTCTTCACTTCTTTATTTTTCAAACTATAAATAATTGGGTTCAGCATTGGGGTCAAAATATTATACTGAATAGAGAAAATCTCATCCAATGTAATGGAAGATACACTGCTGTTTTTCATGTACTGGAACAATCCTGTCATATATAACAAACCCACAACAATGAGGTGGGAGCTGCAGGTAGAGAAAGCTTTGCTCCTGCCTTCTTTGGAATGGATCTTCATGATAGTGGAGATGATACAAATGTAGGATATTGAAGTTGTTATGAAGGAACCAAGTCCACAAATCAATACAGAAGTCAAGAGAATGGTATTATTTAGGAAAGTTTCAGAACAGGATGCTTTCAGTATGGCAGGAAGTTCACAGCTGAAGTGATTAATCCTATGAAGACCACAAAAGTGTAAATTCAATGTGGGCACTGTGTTTATTAATGCAGTTAACAAACCCATTAACCATACTCCCCAAACCAAGTGACTACATATTGCTTTATTCATGATCATTATGTAATGAAGTGGGTCACACACAGCAGTGTATCTATCATAAGCCATTGCTGAAAGTAGGAAAATCTCTGTAGCACCTAGTAGAAGAGTACAAAACATTTGAATCATGCAGTGAGTGAATGAAATTGTCTTTTCCTTCATTAGAAAACTAATTAACATCTTAGGAACAGTATTACTGGAGTAACAAATGTCTACAAAGGACAAATGAGACAGAAAATAATACATGGGTGTAGAGAGAGAAGTATCTATCCTGATTATCAGAATGATTGTGATATTTCCTGACAATGTGACAAGAAAAATGATTGAGAAGATCAGAAAGTAAAAGATCTGTAGTTGAGGATCATTAGAAAGTCCAAGGAAAATAAAGTCTGGTGAATCAGTTTGGTTCTCCATTCCTCTTTATCCTCTTTATCATCTATAAAACAACAATAAATAAACAAAAATATAGGACAATGCACAGCCAGGTTTAAAGGGTGTCAATCCCCCTTGATAAATCATCCAATTTAGACATTGTATAATCACATTGGGTTCCTTCTACAGCAGAAAAAAACTTCATAAAATCACAAAACGTTGACTCATTGGCTGAAGGTTTAAGATGATGATGATTAATGCTCATAGAGTAAACATTAAACTTTATTAAAAATTAAATTAAAAAAAATAAAAGCCTATAGGTGTATTACATTGCTGTAACAACTATCAAATTGTATTCTTGGAAAACTTTTTCTTTAAGGTTTAAGGTTTTTCTTAAACTTTTGGGAGTTTTTAACATTAAAAGGTTAGTGAAGTATAAAAATATCAGTGATTATTCTTTTAGTCATCACTACTGACAATTTTCTTCAAAGTATGGTGAATGAGCGGATTTAGAAATGTCTATTAAGTTTTAGGTGTCTATATTAGATTCATCCAATGAGTCAACAGAATAAAAATAGGAAGTTTGAAATGTGGCATACATTGCCAATATTAATGGTTGAGAGGCAGAAATTTTCTAGGCTATTAGTATTTTTCTATTACTCAAGGTTCCCCTTAAATAAAAATAAAAATACATAAAGTTTAAGAACTGGTCACCCAAACATTATGAAGATTTTGAAGACAGATAAAATTGCTTCATGTAGTTACAAGAAATGAAAATGAAGAATTATACTCACCTTTTAGAAGGAATGTTTCAGCACAGAGCAAGCAGAAATCTGAGAATCCAAGCTCATGTACTTACATGTCTTTTTAGTTAACTAAAACGCCTTATATTGTTTCATAAAAGAATATATAATTTCACAATTTACAAAAAAGCTATTCGAGAAAAAGAAATGCTCCCACTTGAAAAGTCCTCATCAATAATTTTATCACAGTTTGAAGATGGATGTATTTCCCTAACATATGGGAAGCAAATTATGATGCATGTAACAAACACAGAGAGACACACACACATCATATATTTACAATTTGGAGAGAGAGAGGAAAAGACTTTAAGAAAGGAAGAGAAAGGGAGTTCATGGAGGCAGGACATCATCCCTTTAACACTTATCTCCTTTTAACACTTTTCCTTTATATATATATAAAAATCATAGTCATGACATAGATCAGCAATTTTTGGAGAATTTCCTGGGCAGTCTCTCTTCTTTGCTTTTTCACAAGTAACCCAAACCACAAGATAAATGAGTTTTAAGTTTCCTTAGAGAAAAATCTATCAAGTAATCTTTGCCTTGCATCCTATTTATTTTAATGTTTATCATTTCCAAAAGTTGTGGGTGCTCCAACATTGAAGGTTTTAAGAAGAGATGGGCCAACCACTTGTCTGAAATGTTGTTTGAGCAGGGGGTTGAACTAGGAGAACTCCAAGGTGTTTCCCAATTCTGTTATTCTGTAAATTTACTGTAAAATCAGAGACAGAATCTTTTCTCTGTCTGTAATCAAATGAACAAAATTTTAGGATACTCTTTACTGAGGAGCATTTTATTAAAAAAGCAGGAAAAAAATCTATCAAAGGAATCAACAATATTTTACATTTAGTGTTTAGTATACCACAAATTAAAAATAATAAAATACAGCACATTAAATTATTTCAGCAATGTAAGAATTTAAATCTTAAAACTAAAAGCTCCACAATTTGTTATTTCAAAATACAAAGAAAAAAAAAGAAACAAAGTGCTAAAGCATTATAGATAAGCATTTGTTACTAACTTTCCTTTTTCATATTCCAATTAATTTACAATATTGATAGATATTTACTTTTTTATGTGCTTTGGAATTCAAATCTTTAGTCAGCTGTTTTTCTCCTTAAAAGCAGGTACTTTTATTGTCCTTGCATTGCTTTTGCACAATGTATATAGTATGTGGTGTTAAAATTCCTTGATGGTGCTATATGGAGTGCCAAATATTGTCTAAATGTTTCTCTAAGTCTCAAGTTTCTTTTAACCCTGTGGGAAATTCATTACAATCTATTTCAAACCAAATCTGATTGATTTTTAAAATTAGGCCTTACATTCTGTCAAAAAAGATTAACATTGGTTATTCAAAATATCAAATACATATCTAATTGTAATTTTTATCACTTTTTATTTTGTATTAGTGAATTCTTTGATACCAAAAATGCTTTGCTCAATTGTTTATAAATTATAAAGTTTGAAAGTTTATAGAAATCTTGTAGAACTTTCTTTTTTCATGAATTTATTTGAATGGCTCCATTATAATTTAAATCCATCACCATTTGTTGATTGACTTTGTTCCTCCCTCCCTCTCTCCTCCTCACCCCCTTCCCTCCCATCTCCCTCTTTCTCCACCCATTGCCCTTTACAAAGTGAGTTTTGGCAAATTATATCTTCCAAATTCTCTAAGCCACTTACTTCCACTCCAGGAGGTTTTGGATGGCAGATAAATTGCATTTTAATGTAGTAAATGACATGGAAGCTTAAACAAAGTTTTTTTATTTCTTGAATTTTCTCCTCAGGTTGCAACCAAATGTGACATTTTATATCATATTCTAAAGGCACGCTCTTCTTCTACATTTTTCATCCTATAACCAAGGACTCGGGAAATGGGTGACCATGCTGAAATTGTGTGCTATGTAAATTTGAAAACTGAGGATAATTTATATTCAAATAATATTTCCAAACAAAGAGGGAGCACAGTCTTTGGGAAATTTTAGAACACCATCCAATCTGTTTTGTGAAGTTCAAGATAAAAAATAAAATAAATTAACATATTCTGTTTTGAATTCTCACTGTTTTATACAATAAATCATCTTAAAAACTGGGGAGGCGGATTCCATATTTTATCCTGAATTCAGGAAAAAAATGTTATATTACTAGATGTTTTATTTTCAGTTTGAACATTTGAAAGTCTATATCACAAAATATCATTGATATTAATAAATGTCTGTGTCACTAAATGTCACTAAATATATGCTAATGAATCAAAACCAATGACATACCTTTGGATCAAAATAAGCAATTAATGAAGAAATTGGGGAAGGTGGCAAGGAAGTAGCAATATATAGTGGAGTAGGTGAAATAAAATGATCAGGGCAAAAGGATATAATAGTTCTTTTGAAAGTATTAATATACCTGCATGGAAATATTCTTATTCTATAATTTCTTCAATCTAGTGAATTCTTATAGAAGTATTTCAGCATGTATATAGCCATTTTTTTAGGGATAATTAATATTTATTTATTTAATATTAATATCTTTCAGAATATACCTAAATGGGAAAAGACAAAATGGCTGGAATTGTCCCCAAAAGACAGAATTATCACTGTGGAAACATCATCACACTCAAATGCAATTCACTAATCTTTACCAGCTTAAATACATATTGGGGGGAGGAGTTAAAATACTCCCAATACCCAGACAAGTTCATAATATATATATAGGAATTTGCTAAAGAATAGGTCATAAATTATAAGTTGATAGGCTTCCCCATTTTTCACTTTATATATTTGTTGTATAAATTGAGCCTTTTCAAATTTTAATCAAGAGATAAAAGCATGCATTGAGCGGTAGCACAATATTCTTCAAAATGTAGGTGGCCATTAAAACACAGAGACCCAACAGAAACTTAAATCTATACACACACATAGAGTGGACAGTCATCATGAAAGTTTTCAAATGAAACAATAATAACTTGTTTAATAACTTAATAATAATAACTAATATGTAATCCCCAAATTCACTAAAGTAGAATAACAATGCTTAGGTTTCTCATGAGTAACCCTTTTTGAAACAATGACCATATTCAATATTATTTACAACAATTCTAACATGAACTCAATAAAACTTTCTACAAAATAAAGCAACATTGACATAAAAACAATTCTAGCATTTTACTTTTTTGTAAATATTCTTCTAAGTGCCCTCTTTACTTCTTCATTTTTCAGACTATAGATAATTGGGTTCAGCATGGGGGTCAAAATGCTGTACTGAATAGAGAAAAGTTCATCTAGAGTAATTGAAGAAACACTGCTAGGTTTCATGTACTGGGACATTCCTGTCATGTATAGCAAGCCCACCACAATGAGATGAGAGCTGCAGGTAGAGAAAGTTTTTCTTCTGCCCTCTTCAGAATGTATCTTCATGATGCTGCTGATGATGTGAATATAGGAAACCAAAGTTGGTAAGAAGGAACCAAGCCCAAAAATCAATACAGAAAACAAAAGAATACAATTATTAAGAAAAGTGTCAGAACAAGATGCTTTCAAAAATGGTGGAAGTTCACAGCTGAAGTGCTTAATTTCAGGAAGGCCACAAAACTGTAAGCCAAATATAGGAACTGTGTTTATGGTTGCAAACAACAAGCCCATTAGCCATGCTCCTATAACCATATACATGCATAATGCTTTATTCATAATCATTATGTAATGAAGCGGGTGACAAACAGCACTGTATCTATCATATGCCATTGCTGAAAGTATAAAAACTTCTGTAACACTTAATAGAAGACTGAAAAACATTTGCATAACACAGCTGATAAAGCAAATTTTCTTATGTTTCATAAGAAAATTCATTAACATCTTAGGGACAATATCTGCAGAGTAACAGATATCAACAAAAGACAAATGAGACAGGAAATAATACATGGGTGCAGAGAGGGAAGGATCCATTCTTATGATCAAAATTATTGTGATGTTTCCTGACACTGTAAGTAGGAAAATGATTGAAAAGATCAAGAAAAGGAAAATCTGTAGTTGGGGATCATTGGAAAGTCCAAGAAAAAGGAAGACCAATGAATCAGTTTGGTTCTCCATTTTTGTTTACTCATCTGTAAAATAAAAATAAACATGTAAGTAGAATATAGGACAAAACACAATCAGTTTATATAATATTAAATTGTTTTGCTTTCAACTCTCTCTCACATTCACTCAGGTTCATAGTTAGTGATACTATGATACTTATATCTTAGAA